TTCGATGGAGTCTCGCTATTCGAAACTCACCAAGGTCGTGCTACCGTCTTCACCCGAATAGAACGCCTGGTCATTATCGCTGCATCTGGACTGAAAGTTTTGCCAAATACAGCTATATAACCAGGCGTTCTATTTGGGTGAAGACGGCAGTTGACACCTTACGAAGGTTAGGTTTAAAAAAAAAATAGCAAGACCTTGGTTGGTTTTGAATAGCAAAACCTGACCAGGTTCAGCTAGGCAAACCTGACCAGGTTCAGCTAGGCAAACCTGACTAAAGTCTAAAGGGGTCCAGTCAGCATGCGGCGACAGGTTTTATCAGGCTCCATATTGCTGAGAGCACTCTTCGTTTGCCGTCAGGTGTCCAAGCGCGTTTGATATCGGCTACTTGCCACATGTATAAACGGCAAAGAAAATATGGCGGTGCATCTCTCCATGTTCTAGCAGAAAATTCATTCTCATTTTGCGCGTTTGGAGAGCAGTGGAGCGCAGCCCATAGTAGACACGCGACTCTGCCAGACATCTGCTGCCAGTGTGTGTTTGTTGTTCCGTTCCGTTCTCTTTGTGCTCCATGACTCGGCCAGTGTTTCGTCAGACATTGATCGATTCATCGGTCGGTCAGCCGGTTGACCCCCCGACGATCTGCCCAGGATGGATGAGACTGATGCAGCAGGACTCGCCACGTCGTCGCCCAATGTTTGCAAAGTGAGAATGAATCTTCCGCTAGAACGTGGAAAGATGTGCCGGCTAAATGGGAAAGTGGTCTTGTGTGTGTGTCTGTGTGCGTGCGTGGGTTCCAGCGCGGAAATGGATTGAGATTTTGAGATGGTGTAACCTGTGTGAAGCTCTTGCAGATAGCACGCAAGGAAATGGAAAGATTTGAATCGCGGCCGTGCGCACGGCGAATCTGCCATTGGCTGTTGTCAGATTTAGAAGAACAGTCTGCAAATCTTTCATCATACTGCCAATGATATGAAGCGGAAACGCCGGAAAGGCCTCCTGGGGGTTACATGGAGGGGAGGATTGGTCGCCTTTTTTTTTTTTTTTTTTTTTTTTTTTCGGTTCAGCTGGTCCGTTGTCGGGTTTAGAAGAACAGTCTATCCGACAGTCATCATAGTGCGTGGTTCATGATTTTATATCTCTGTCTGCACGAGGGTTGGGATCTCTGTCTGGACAGGTATGTCATTCTCCCAACGGAGAGGTGCTCTCCACCTGTCTGCACGATTGTTCGGATCTCTGTCCGGACAGGCTCGAGGGTTATCAAGATTTTTCGAAAGGTAGTGGTGTTGGCTCGACCGGACCTTTCTTGCTACCGTAGGTAATAGCCTAATAGGTATTAATTTGGAAAGTCAACTAGTGTTGACTTTCCGAATTTAGAAAGTCAACTGTTTGTTGACCAGAGGATCCCTTGTGCCTGTCCTCCTTGGAAGTGCAATTAATCGCCTCCCCCTTTTTGGAGGTCAGCGGTTCGGTTGTTGTTTGTTGTTTGTTGTTTGTTTTCTTTTTCCCTCCTTTTTTTTTTTTTTTTTTTTTTTTTTTTTTTTTTTTTTGTTTTTTTAGTCCTCCCTTGTCGACGTGGAGGCAATGCTATATCTGCTTGTGATTCTTATGATAGAGAAAAAAAAGGGACAAAAAAACGGCAATCGTCTTTAAAATTTAATGACGACGTCATGGAGGCTTGATGCGTGACAATCTGGTTGCCGCGTCGCGAAGGCCGCCATACGACAAACGGCACCATCAACCTTCAGGCGATGCCATGCAGCAGATCACGCCATAGGCAGATCATGACGGCTTGTTGTCAGGCGACGGCGTCAGGATGCCATGCGGCAAATAATTCCAGGTGCCGAATGACGGTTTTGCACATGTCGGGGCACCGATGGCGGAACTTGTTTTTCTTATCCTCCTATGTACCGCTCTGCCTCCATAGCCTGCAAGGTACGGACAGCTTTCCTTCACAACAGAGGGCCAGCTATGGAGGCAGAGCAGCTATGGAGGTCGACAGCTGTGGAGGCAGAGCAGCTGTGCAAGGAAGAGGAGATTCTTCCACACCAGACGACAGTCGATCACGTGGCATTTCCTCCTCTGTTGTTTTAACTGTGCATGTGGCATTTCCTCATTGTTTTGACGGGCCACGTGGCAGTTGCTTGTTGTCGTCGGTGGATTGATTTCTGAAAAGGGAGAGAAGATCTTTGGAAGGGCAAGTTGGCAATTTCACAGTACGGCAGAGCAGCTATCGAGGCAGAGAAGCTGTGAAAGGAAGAGGAGATTCTTCCGCAAAAGACTAGAGTGGAGGATGTGGCTTTTCCTTGTTGCCTCGTTGTTTTGACTGCGCACATGGCAGTTGCTTGTGGTCGTCGTTGGAGTGATTTCTGAAGAGGAGAGGAGGGTCTTCGGGTTCGGGAGGGCAATTTGGCAATTGCACGGTACGGCAGAGCAGCTATGGAGGCAGAGAAGCTGTGAAAGGACGAGGAGATTCTTCCACAGCAGACGACAGCTGTCCACGTGGCATTTCCTCTATTCTTTTGACTGTCCACGAGGCACTTCCTCGACTGTCCACGTGGCACTTCCTTGTGGCCATCGTTGGAGTGATTTCTGAAGAGGAGAGGAAGGTCTTCGGGAGGGCAATTGGGCAATTTTTTCACAGTCCAGCTGGAACATCATTTTGGTCGAATGGTATTTGCTTGGATCTCAGTTCTTCCAAGGGTACTTTGGCAATTGGCAATTTCACAGCAGGGCTTTCCTGATGTGTCTGGCCGCCAACAATTAAGGCCGCACTCAGTTGTCATGGTCCTCGTGTGACTGTTGCTGTGAAACCACCGGGGCTTCCGCGCCCCGTGCCGGGCCGGGCTGCGAGGAAGTCAAAAAAATATCCCGAATGTTGCTCCGTGCCGGGCCGCGAGGAAGTAAAAAAAAAAATTATGGCCGGTGCTGCGAGCCCGATTCATGTTTGGTAGGCCGAGACCCGAAAGACGCCATGTGTCACAATGTGTCGATGGGCCCCGTGGAACAAAATGATGGCTTGGAATAAAATTCCGGTGGTTTAATTTGAACCGATTTGGCATTGGCACTGTCGCCCAAGGATTTGTCGGGACATCTTGGTCCCATTCATGTGCGCGTGTTCAAATCCCACCACCCTCCGAACCGTCTACTATTTGTAAGGCAAGCATCAGAGCACAGCGGAACTACAGGGGCCTTTTAAAAAATTTCTTCCTTTTTTTTTTTCCTATAAGGCTAGTATAAGCTTCAACTTCTTTTATTTTTTGGTTCGTTTTTTTTTTTGTTTTTTTTTTTTAATAATTATTTTTAGAATTTTTTTTTTATAAGTTTTTATTAAGCTACTAAGCATAGGATGGAACGCTTCCAGAGCCAACCATCATTTGAATGACTTCTATTTGTCCCGATTTTTTTTTGAAAAATTTTCCATCATTTCAATTTCATTTTGGGTATTGAACTTTTACTTCAGTTTTGTGTTTTTACTATCTTCCCATGGTCACCGTGCTGAAAGGGAAAAAAACAAAACAAAACATGAGGGTCTTATTATTGTTATCCCATTGGCATGCTGCTCTTTAGTTTCCTCCAGTGCCCCGGTCCCCATTCACCGTAACTCTTCGTTGATGACCACCGATCTCCGCAATCTGGCGTTCTGCCATGTCCGAGTCGTCCATGGAGCATATCTTTCTTTTCAGAACCTACCTACCACTACTACTCCTAAGGCAGGCTATACAGGGGACCCCTGGAAGAAAAAGATATCTCAATTGTGGATGATCACCAAAGAGAAAAAGAAAAAGAAAAAGAAAAAGCGGGGAAAAAAAAAAGAGGACGGGGGAGTACAGCAGCCCAACGGATGGGCATCGACTTCAAGGCGGAAAGAAAAAAGGTTTGCCTAACTCTTGGCGTGTGGAGACTATGGAAGGTAAACTGTCATAGTTTGGCTTCCAACCTCTAAACAACCTGGGCAGTGGACTTCTTCAAAACAAAACAAACGAAAAAAGGGAGGGGGGGGAAAGATTGGGGGGGGGGGGGGGGGGTAGGGGGGGGGGGGGGGGGGGGGGGGGGAGGGGGGGGGGGGGGGGGGGGGGGGGGGGGGGAGGGGAGGAGGAAGGAAGGGGGATGTGTAGCATCGTGTTGGCGTTCGGTGACTAAACACAAACGTTTGGGACCACCGTACGCGAACATAATAATAATTTAAAAAAATAAAAAAAGAAACAGCTGTCTGAAGAATCTGGAAAGAGAAATGTTATATAAAATAATAGTACAAAGTCCTACAAACAACTTTCTTTCTTTTTTAACCAATGAACAACTTTTATATAAGCTGGGAACCGGGCCCAGCGTCCCTCACAAGAGTGCCACAGCTATCGAGCTGAGCAAGGCTCTCCGGCCAAGCAAAGCCCGAGCCGCGGTATTCGAAGACAGCTCAACAAGCCTAAAAAAAAGGAAAAAACTACCAAAGGTCCGAAGCCCTAAATATACAAATTAGAGAGGGAGCCCTAATTAAGCTAACTAACATTAATACAAACACCCAACTAAAATCGTTCACAATATTCAAAACTCTACATCCTAAGCAATCATCGAAGTCTCTAGACTAACAATCATTAACACATAGTCAACAAAGTTCAAACCCCAATCATATCTGTGTCCAACCAAACCCCAACCATACATGCACCGAACCAAAGCGAAGCCCTAACCACGCAAGGAGCCTGTAAAGAAAAACCACAAAACAGCCATGAGATACCTAGTAAGCCAGCAACAGCAAAACGCAGTTGCGAATCCCTAAATACACTAATTAGAGAGGAAACCCTAGTTAAACTAACTAACATTAATACAAACACTCAAAAAATCATCCACAATATTCAAAATTCTATATCCTAAGCAGTCATCGAAAAATTTCAAACCCCAATCATATATGCGTCCAACCGAACCCCAACCATGTATGCATCGAACCAGAACAAAGTAAAGAAGAACTAAACTCCTCAAAACAGCCACAAATTATCTAATAAACCAGCGGAGCTTCGCTAGTAATTAGCCATCATAACTATAGAATGAAGAAAATTATCACCACGGTAGGGAGTCCATCTGTCGGCATAAGTACACCGGCAGTCGGGAAAAAGCTCGATCAAACGATCTGTCGTCCCGCTCAGCAACCAGAACCGGCACCTATCAGCTCCAATGCTCCTCATGTCGCGACTCTCATGGTGACGTCTTCCTCCAGTCAAGGCTCCGTATCTAAAACCAGGGGATGAAAACCCCTGATCGGTTGCAATTAGGTATGCAGCGGCGACCAGGATCTCGCCCGTCAGTTGTCCCCGCTTCAAACTCCCTCCATTGGTCAACTGAAAAGGATTCCCGGCAAATACCGACCGAGACCGGTCATAGCCAGGGTCTTGGTATCACTCCTGTGAAGCATACACCCCACCTGCGCCCGCGCGCCCTACACCACGTGTCGCCCCTGCCATGCCGCCAGCAAGCTCTGGCGTGCGAAGCCAAACACTCGTTGACCCCGCTGTGCAATCCCCCGCTGCCCTGTCGCCGCCATAAGCGACGAGTTAGCGCTGCGTTACCGCAGCGCTAACGCGTCGCACCCTCCCTCGCCAGGATGGTATGTTGAAATTCGTAACCAAAGCTGAGTTAAAAAAGAAAGTAAAAAAATAATGAAATAAAAAATAAATAAGAAATGAATTCAAATGATTTAAAAATCATTGAAAAACATATGTGGAAACGAACTCATTCGGGAGGGGCCAGCAGGGGCTATTCACAGACAGATCATAACGGCGTTGCACATATGCCCATATTCCGTCCCGGTACATTCAAGTTGCAGAAAGTTGTAGCATGAGTTTGCACTGCAGTAATTCTTGTCGTGTGGGCCAGCTGCTTCAGCCAGATGTGCAGACTCTTGAGGTGATGGAAAGACAGTTCCAGATATCCATCTGATGATGGCACCCCCATGAACCTGGTCCGTGGCAGTGTCCAAATGCAATTTGCCCAGAAGCCTTTATGACCAACACCAAGGTCAGCAGATTGATGAACCTGGTCCAGCTTTCAATCTTTTGGTACGTGCGCTGCATCTGTGTCTTTGGCACAACCTGTCTCTTGTCTCTGGGATCCATTTGTCCAGAGAGACATAACAGTTCGCCGAACCTGGTCCTGACCCCACCGTAAAACGCACAGTACATAGTAGGTGCATAGGGAATAGCACAAAAGGTAACATAGGGCCGGTCCCGACTGGCGTTGCAGTTATTTTCATGCTAAGAAAACAGGAACCTGGCTGCTATTCCGGTCATGTTCATCCATGCTTTCCAAGCATGAACATAGCGCCAGTCGGAGGGCCTGCGCTTTAGAACATGCGTCTGAGCATGTGACAACAAATAGACTGTAAAGTGCACAGCACATAGTAGGAGAGAGCATAGCACATGCCTGAACTGTACTGAATGGTGCGTTCTATTCGGGGGAAGATGGTAGCAGTGTACATACCACATGCACTGAACGCATTACTTCGTGCAGCGAATGCATGCCCGATACTCCGAAAAAGTATGTAGTGCCATCTGCCATGCATATGCTTACAGCACACAACAGTATGTGGCTCATTGCCTGGACCAGATGCACTTGGAATATAGTTTTATCAACTTTTATCAAGTTTTATGTGTGTGGCATATCACTTGCTCGGTAGTAGGTACATCGTAACATAGTTACTGTATGGGAATTGGTGCACAATGGTAACTTGGTATGTGTTGACTACTGCTTAGTGGCATAGTTACTATATGGGAATTGCTGCATAGTTACTGTATGGGAATTACATTGTTAGTAGTTACTGTATGGGAATTGGTGCACAATAGTAACTTAGTAAGTGTGCTGACTACTGCAGCTTAGTACGTAGTTACTGTATGAGAATTACATAGTTACTGTATGAGAATTACATAGTTACTGTATGGGAATTACAAGGTTACTGAATAGGAATTGCTGCATAGTTACTGTATGGGAATTGGTGCACAATAGTTACATAGTTACTGTATGAGAATTACATAGTTACTGTATGGGAATTGCTGTACAATAGTAACTTCGTAAATGTCCCGACTACTGCTTAGTGGCATAGTTACTGTATGGGAATTGGTGCGCAATGGTAACTTAGTACGTGTGTGTAGTGCATACTATGTGGCTCAGTGAATGATAGTGAATGCAAGATAGGAAATATGACAGAATGTGCAGGGTAGGGAATATGACAGAAAGTCACAGAACAGCGCTTCTCGTATGTTTCGTATGTTTCGTATGTTTTGTCACACATAGACTGAGTGTGGTGTGCATAACACATGCACTAAGTGTGTGTGTTTGTGTGTGTGTGTGTGTGTGTGTACTAAGTGCATGGAGTACATGGCACATGCCCCAAAGGTACTTAGAAATTAGAACCACCTAAGAAGGAGCCATTTTCATGGTGACTGTTCCTACCCAGAATGCACCTAGCCGCAATCAGTGCATCATACAGCTTAGTAGGACACATACATGGCAGAATACATCACGTTGCACATGGTTTGTCAGGCCCGTGCAACATTCAATGCATATGCCTTGGATGTTGTACTTAAGTGAGTAGGGTGCATGGCGCATGCCGAAACGTATGCATGCAGTTACATACCACATGCCCCAACGGTACTTAGTACGATCTGCGCAGAAAGTACTCGGTACTACCATCTGCGCAGAAATTACTCCGTACTTAGTACCATCTGCGCAGAAATTACTTGGCGCATCGTACACGGCTTAGTGCTGCACGAGAATACGTGAAAGCCATGTGTGGATGGCAGGGCACATGGAGTAGTGCATGCAAGAGTAAGTTACATAACACATGCACCCCCCCCCTCACATGCACCTAATCCAGATACTGGACCACATACTTGACTGTCATCGCTATCACGTATTTTTCAAGTTTGCACAGCACATGACGGATTATCAGTTGCAGACGTGACGACGAACGGCGTACAGTCATGCTCCCTTTCCGTGCGGAGTCCAGAAGCGTAGCGTAGCTGGAATGCAGTGATGCAAAGAATGAGCATTCACGCA